TGCTTCGTGCTTGCTTGCTTGCTTGCTTGCTTTCTCTCTCTCTCTCTCTCTCTTTCTCTTTTTCTCTTTTTCTCTTTCGCTTGCTAGCCTGCTTACTCGTTTGCTGCTTGTTGCGAGTGGAAAAGAAAAAGAGAGAAAGAGAAAGAGAAAGAGAGAGAGAGAGAGAGAGAGAGAGAGAGCTGCCTGCTTGCCTGTCACAGGAGTTTACTTGGTGGCGTGCGCGCGCGCGCGCGCGTTCGCTCGCAAGCGGTCCTACCTCCTGCAGGGGACCGTGTCACGTGGCCTCCGGCCGTAGAGCAGCAGCACGCACCGCTCGAACACGAGAGAACTCGCGCGAGTGTGCTTATACACTACGCCAGTCAGAGACGAACCGAGAGACCGGTCGCAGAGCGCACCGACGCGCACCCGCTCTCTTATTATTCTTATTCTTATTCTTCTTACGCGTTTAATATATCTTGCCTTGATATTCCTCACCTATCCCATTATTATTATTATTATTATACTTTCTCTCTATCTCTCTCTCGTATTCCCTTAATTTCCTTCCTTTTCCCCTTTTCTCGATATAGATCCTCTAAGGCCCAATTGTGTATTACGTTATCGACTTGTCGCGAACAACTAGTACTACCTTTGGTGTTTCTTTTTTGTTTTTTTTCGTGTTGTGTGATGAACCTACCTATCAACGATTTTGAAATTTATATTTTTCAATATTTTCTTGTTTGTTTTTCCATCCATCGTTTGTACTTTTTACTTTTGGATTTGACGCGTCGTCATGTAAAGTGAAATTGACGTGGATGGTGGTATCATACCACCCCAACCACCCACCTCCCCAGTTGACGTTTATTCGTCGATGGAACAAACTCTACGTAATTGTGTGACTTTATGGTGATAAGTGTGTTTTAAATGAAAGTGTATGTACGACATGCTCCTCGTCACCGGCCGGCGCTCCACCTGGATCTTACGGATCGTATTGAATGGTGCGCGATCTAGATCGATCTCTCGTCTTAGCGATCTATCAAGACGATATATTCCTGTGCTCGCTGTTTCTCATTCTCGAAAAGATTCTCACTTTTTTTTTATATACATATATATAGTTGTACGAATCAATTAGTTCCGGTATTATTAGCAAAAAAAAAAAGAATTTCTTTTCGCGTATATGTTTTAACGGTCGACGTTGAACGCAATAATGAAATTCATTTCGTTGGGATATTCGGTGCGAAATCTTTCGCGGGAACGATGGTTAAACGATCGGGCGTGTTGCTGACGCACGATGGGACGTCGTAAAAAAGGGTTATATAGAAGGTTGGAGGAAGGGTTCGCAAACTCGTTAATGGGTAACGAAAACTCGTTGCAACCGTGTCGCGTTCGATGCGCCACGTTACTCGAATCAAAATCTCGGTCAGAGGATGATGATGGAAGAAGACAAGAATCGTAGTAGTAGCAACAAGCATCCAGAAGTTAGCTTCTTTTACAACGAACAAATGAGCGCCCCTCTCCCCTCCCTCCCTAACCCACGATATAATTAAAAAAGATTATCCAAGGGAAATAAGAGTTCGTTCGGCGATAACGACGTTGACGGTGCGGGTTTCACTTGGTACCTAACCGTCGTCTCGACTTAATGAAGCGATTCCTATCGGTACCGGCAAAATCTGATAATTAAATCAAGCGAAGAGGGAGGAGCAGCCCGCGGATATTAATTGAATCGCGATCGGCTTCGATCCGCTCGCTTTCGCAAACACTCGTTCGGACGATGTAACGACGATTATGACTTTGACTTCATACGTGTATACTATACACACACACATATATATATATATATACGCATGTATATATACACACATCCGTATAATTTAGTGCTTGGGCAGAGGAGATCTGGTGTTTGTGTGTGTGTGTATGTGCCGGTGAAATTCGTAGCCGTGGGGGAGATCGTAGTGGCCGATCGATGCGGATTCGATGATTCGAGGTTTCTTTGCACCGAGTCACTCGATCCCTTCCTCGAGCGGACCACGTTTATATATACTCGTTCTGATTTATTGGCGCGTCCGAGGCGTCGTCGATTGGCCACGGCCCGACGAACGACGACGGAGACGAAGACGAAGGACGATGACGATGACGATGACGACGATGACGACGACGACGACAACGACGACGATAATCTTTCATCCTCTTTTCTCTTCGTTCGAATCGGCAAAGGAATTTTCTTCTCTTCTTCTCGTGATAGAGAAGGATGCTCCCCTTTTTTCTTGGCCATTCGGGACACGTCCTCCTTGCAAAAAAGTCTCCTCTCTCATACATATATACAATAAGTCGGAATCGAGCACGCTCGATCGCGATTAATCCGTCATCTTAGATGAGAAAGCCCAGGACTACTCTCTCGCGAGGAAAGATCGTAAAGATCGGCGCAATCAGATAAGGATCGGTTAGTCCGGGGGCTGATGGGTCCGTGACGACGAAACGACTCTTTGGAAATGCGTGTCGAGGCCGAAACTCTGACGCCGAGAAGGCGGTTGCAACGAGTGTTCTCTTGCAGTTGCTGCTTTAGCTGTTACCTCTGCTATCGTCATCCTGAAGTCGTCCTTAGTAGTAGGTGGGGCCGATCGAAACAGACGGTTGTTCTTGCGAGAGCGAAATATAAAAAGAAATAATATATATATGTAAAAAGAGAAAGAGAGAGAGAAAGCTTTCTTTCTTTTTTTTCTTCCGCAACACCCTTTCTTTCCTATAGCGTCGCGAATTTTCGTTCTCTCTTTTCTGGCAATTTAAAGATCCCGACTTTGCGATCGTCGTCTCCTTAGAATGTTGGTGCGAATGCCCGCGCGCAACACTCCCGTTCTCGTGCACACGTGCGAGCCAACGAAATTGGGATGATCGGGCGAGCTTGATTGCTGCTGCTACTCGACCGAGAAAATTAAGCGGTCCCTCGCTTTTTTCCCCGAGCGCTGCGCGCTTTTACGATTCCTCGCTTCTCCTTTTCTCCTCTTCGAGGACCTTTTTTACGGCGACCCCTTTTCTCGAGATCGGTACATTGTAAATTATAGTACGTCTTAATCGTTACAAAACTCCGCCGCTCTAATTATTGCCGCCCTCGACACGCAACAGCCCTACCTCCCTCCTTTTTACGCAACTTCTATGCTTTTATTTTTCGTCTCTTTCTTTTCTTTTCCTCTTTTTTTCTTCTTCTTTTTAATTCTTTTTCGTTAATTACTTTGAAATATACAACTCGATTTCGCTTTCTTAGTCAAATAACGAGTAATAGCATTTATCGAGTACCTCTCTCTCTCTCTCTCTCACTCTTTCGTTCTCATATCGACAAAAATTCCACGAGAATATCAACCGTAAATATAAACCGAAAAAGAGATATCACGAAACCGGAGACACAAGAGTCGTGCCTCTTTTCTCTCTGTCAACCGTGAACGGAGAGTAACAAGGTTGCGAAAAAAAAGTTATTAATATACAAAAAATAAAAAAGAAATCTCTGGTAGAAGAAATATAATAAAAAGAAAAAAAAAAGGAAGACTTGCGAAAGAAGAAGGCTCGTTTTCTTCGCGAAGTCGGGGAAGGACATAAAACTGAGAAATAATAGGCCTGGGTAGGGTAAATGAGGAGGGCATCTCTCTCTCTCTCACTCTCCGATATACACCGGGTAAGCGCGATCGAGAGAAGCCTGCGACGTTAATTTCGTAACTTGATACGTCATTAAGGTAACAAATTGCGCGATTAACCCGGGCACGCTTAATTAGCCGCGGCGTTATAAATGGCAGAAAAGCGCCGCGAATTAATCAATGCTCGATCGGCTCGATCGGGTTCCGGACGCTTCCCTTTCGTGTTGCTCTTCTCTCACCTTCTTCTCTTCGGCTTCCTCTTCAACCACCTCCTGTTTCCCCTTTAGTACTCCCGTACCCCCCGCCCCTCTCCCCGCCCCGCCCCGTTCTTCTTCTTCTTCTTCTCGAGAAACGATCGCTCGTTGGTTGCGATAAACGCGATAAGTAAATTAAACGACGGGGACGAAACAATCCGGTTAACCGTTTTGTACGAGCGTGGCATTAACGAACGACCGCGCGTAATAAGGATGATAACGGTAATTAAAATAATTAGACGGTACGTGCTCGATTAAAGCGAGAGACGTTTACCAAAAAGTTAATTATAACAACGTTGCCCGTGATAAAGAGTGGCTTAATGTCTCTACACTGTAATCGCTGAGAGTTAGGATGATAGGCGGGAGGAATGGTAAAGGAACATATACGAGAAGGTAGAAAGGGAGAATTTCTATAAATGAATTCTCACTGAGAAGAATATTATAGTCAATGAAGGAGAGAGAGATATATATATATATATATATATATCGTAACTCGATATTCATAATAAACACGGCTTGATCTTTTTCATTGAGAAATTCTATTTCATTTCTTTGGTATTAATTATATTACACTCTTTTTTTTACTTTGATTTTTTGCGAAAAACGAATCGAAAATGTTAGCCGACAAACGAAACGTAGTTGGACCGAATAACAGACGGTGGAAATCTTTGAAAAATAGGTATAGGTATTCTCGCGGAAAGGAACGATAATATTTTCTACGCTCGAAATCACGCGTATCTTATTGCAATTAAGATCGCAGCGTGTAATTAAATAGTAAATGATAATTTAACCGAGAGTCGGGACGTACGCGGTTTTACAGTTTAATGCACAACGTTACGTACGATCACCGACGATCGAGATTGCGTACGACAATTTTGGTGTTAATTAAATGGCCGTGCGTGGGCGTTTACCGGATCCCTCGAGAATACGTTTTGTCAACTTTCACTCTGACTCTTCCATTCTGACTACTCCGACTCTTTAATCTTTCTCACTCTCTTCTCAACCTTTCTATCTTTTCAAACACGTCCCAACATTCACGCGCACGCATGCACGCACGCACGCACATACAGTATATCCCGTGAGCCGGTATCTCACAATGTTTTAACATAGTACCATTAATTTGCATCAACAATAAGAGCACGCTGTATTAAAATAAACTTTACGGATTCGTATCTCTTTTAAACGAGGGATCCAATGATTTAATCCTTTCTGCAGGAACAACTCGGCCCGAATACCCAAAATAAGCTTCGCAAATTTGTGTACCGGTTTTACAGTCGACTCGAGTTACTTTGTCCTTTCTGTAAACGTGCGCGCGCACACACATCTTCGTTGTAGTAGTTGTAATCGTAAATTCGATTCGTTCCGCTCAAGCGAGAACAAAATAATGCACTCTCGATAATAAAAAAGTAAAAGAAGAAGCTTTAAAAAAAAAAAATAATAAAAAGGAAATGTTTGTCGGGATCGAATTACTAAATCTTTTCTTCGATTCTCCTCCGCAGTTGTTTGTCTACTTCACCTTTTCGTCTCTTACAATTTTCGAAAGTTACTCTTGGTCGTGATTGGCTCTTTCCAAGCTCTTGGCAAGTAATTCGAAATAATTTATGCCCGAGGAAAGAAGAAGCATCGCCCACGCGAACGAAAGCGATCGAATTGCCGGTGTTAGACAAACGAACAAGAGAAAGATCGAGTCTTTGGTCTCATTTTGGACGAATTATCAGCATCGACTACCCACGTCTTGTCTTCTTCGCTAATTGCCCTTAGGGTGAAGCAAGATCAGCTTTGGAGTGTTAGGAAGAAGTGGAGAAGGAGAAGGGGGAAGAGAAGTGGTCAAGAATCGAGGATTAATTAAATCGAATTAAGCTTAATTAGCTTTACCGGTGCTTGGGATGCGAGAAAAAGAAGGGTAGGAACAGAAGTAGAAATAGGTGGGAGAAACAGGACAGTTTAAAATAATCGTAGAAAAATCATTTTTGCTTGTCTTCGTAGCAACGAGAGTTGGGTACGCGCGAATTCGATAAGATCTCTCGAAATAAAAATTGAAATTTATGTTGAGTGACGAGAAAAGGAAAAGGAAGAGGGGTGAGTGGGTGAGGGTGGGAGGAAGGGGGAGTAGAGGAACCCGTTAAAATTTCCATTCCTTCGAAATCGTTTTGTGTTGGGAGTGAACACGCGCGCGCGCCTACGAACGTTGTGTGGTTTGCCGTGCCGTGCCGTGTCGTTCGTTCCATGTCGTTCCATGCCGAAGTCAAAACGTACGAAATCGAATAAACGTAAAGGTGATTTATGACGCGTCCCGTTGCAATTAACGAAGTAAAGGTGAAATCAATTCTCGTGCATAAAGAGTTTTAAATTCAACCGGAGGAGAAAACCCGTGTGAAATTCAAAACGGAGTCTGCGCAGGCTACCAAGAAGCCGAGTGAAAGCGTTACGTCACACGAGAAACGATTGTTTAAAAGGCTTAACAATCGACTTTAATGACAGACGCGATCATTCAAGATAGAACTTTGTTTCAAAGTTTATACGAGAGACTTGTATAAATTCAATTGAAGCGTCATGTGAATGAAACGATGAAGCAACGAGCTAAGGAAAATCTTTCTTGATTTATCGTCGTTTTCGTATTTCATAAACAAATTCATGACCATTTAGATTATTTCGAGCATATTGCGAGACCGATATCGCGTATTCGAGAGATCGATGAGATCGATCTGACAAATCGTCGACTTACAGGACCCGCTAATCGCAGGAGCGTCGATCTTCGTCCCCAGAGGTGGATAGAAAGGATCGATTCTTGTTCCTCAACGACGACGACGACGACGACAACAACAACAGGAACGTCAAGACAAGAGGATTATCCTATTGAATCTGTGTTAACGTTTAAAGATACATTAAGTTCGATCGGAATGAATTTGTCTTTAGTGAGAACCAGAAAGTTACCGGATCGAGATATTATCCTTCCCAGAATTGGAACGGATATAAAACTATAAAAAAAAAAAAAAGAGAGATAAAACAAATTTGACGAATCGTCCAGACGATATCGTTTATTTTTCCACGTGGTTTATAAATAAACGATCAAAATTATTAAAAAGATGGTCACCCTGGACACCGAGCAGAAGCCTGAGAGGCAGCACTGCGGTCGACGCATGTGCGCCATTTGCAGACGCATCAAACGTGATAAAGGTAATCCACGATTTTCATTCAGCACGTTCAACTGCTGACGTATACAAGTGCATCGCTTTGCTAACGCGCCGTCGCTGCCTTAACAATACGATTTATGGATTATAATATTATTCAAAAATTCAGCAACGTCGTTGGTAATCAATATTTCACTTGGCTACTTAATTAGTTATAAAAAAAAAAAAAAACAGGGAGGAGAATCGATAAAGTCGATATTTTATATCGTAGAGCTAAAGCGTTAATCAAGGCACAGGCGTCATTGTCATTGAGATTTAATATGCAGCTTCCGAATGAATATCATAGATAATAATTCAACTCGCATTTTCGAGCTAAGAGTTTCGACGAGTTCGGGAGGTATCCGATGCTTACTCATATACCTCAATAGCTAGCACGTCGATGCTATTATGCAAACGACTTTTATTATTATTATTATTATTATTATTATTATTATTCTCTTTCCTCACTCTTCCGCAACCCTCTCGCGCATATCATCTCCTCTTTTATTTTTGATTTGTTTTAAACGTCGTCGCTTTATGGCACGCGCGGTGCTCAAGTAATATACGACGATATAATGTCCAATAAACGCGATTATAATGTACGCGCAATAAACCGAGAGAACCGAGAGAAAAATTCGGCCCAGTGATATACGATAAATCGAAGCCTCCAGCATCCCGATATACTATATTAATGGTGCAACCGCATAATGCATAATGAATCGTACGCCGTATACGAGGACAATGTATTTCGTGTTATTACACGCTTCATGCTCGACTCATTTACATCGCGTTAGAGATCATTTACATGGTACGTGCAAGAGCCAATCATTTTTATGCAATAATTAATTAATGTAAAAAGATAAGTATAATGCGCGCGCCTCCACCACCACCACCACCACCACCACCATCGCGAAGCACAACAATTCAACTCGTAATCTTTCTTACGTCATACGTTCATTCCGACAACTTTTTGAAAGATCGAACGAATCAAAACGAGTAAACCCTGCTTAACCCCCACCCCACACCGCCCATTTTATCTTCCCTCTTTTTTTTTTCTTTCTTTTTACGTTATGTTAGTATCCGAAGCATTACGCGGCATTGCGAAGGACTCCTTTGGCGGCTCGAAAACTGGTTCGTTCGTTCGAACGTCGCGTCGAACGTCCTCGTTGTTCAATGCAAATCGCTCGTTAGTCGAAACACCTGAAATTCTTGTGTGGGATGTATATATTTATATATACATATATATCTACGTATTTATATACATGCATAGGTGGTTACCTTCGGCCACCACCACTCTGAGCTCCATGGATTATTCATTCTCGTAACGTGCGAGCGTTAATATGACAAACGAACACGAGTGTGTCAACTTTTGTCAACGTAACTTGATACTTCACGAAATTATTTTTACATTATTTTCTACTTTCAAGTCTAGGTCATATATACGTTTCTTTCATTCTAGAAATTCTTCAACGCAATCGTTAACGCATTGCCCAACGTGTTTCCGAAATCAACAAACTTTTAAACGTACCGAAAAAACTGTATACATAGTACGGAAGCAATTTTCTCATTCACATTTATAAATTCTTAAATATTACTATATATAATACATTCATATTGCTTATTTTACACAAATTAAATATAATCGAATAAAATGTTTTTCCATTAATCTGAAATAACAAAAGAACAAAACGACAAAATCACGTAATCCTTAACGTAAATGCGTTACTCCTCACCGAAACTAACTAAAAAATCAACAAATGGTGTCTATTTCAAAGAATACTCATAATCGAAAATCTTTGATCCGTGATAGGGGAATCCAAGTGTAAATTTTCATACCGACTTGTCCTGACTCGTCGTTATTATTCTCACTCAGCTTGGCATTACATTCTCTCAAGTTCTCGAGAAGAAGGACTTTCTTTCTTTCTCGAGGAGTCTCGGGTAAAACGTTCATGACTAGGCCGGAGGTACCGATTATGATAGAGCGCGTGGGCTCGCCCACGCTCGCCCTTCGTCCGTTCGTTCATTCATAAATTCAACTCTCTCTCACACCGGCTTGGCTCTCGCACGCGACTCCGTTCGTTGGCGCACGCGCGTCTGTCTTTCGATTCCTGTTAGTCTCGCACCTACGACGAGACCGTTGTTGACCAAGGTACCGTATGTCGTCTTACTTGTATGTAATATTAAACGATCATATCTCAGCTAACCTGACCTGATTATGCTCCCTTATTATACAAATTTGATTATTCATTTGTCATTTGTTTTATCTAAACAAAATTACGACAGAAGATGTTAGAAGAAAAGGGAAGGAGTATAAAAGTAAGTTAGGAGACAGGGATCGTTGAGTCATAAAATCACATCGTAATTCACGTTTGCGATAGTACTTACCTCCTCCTCCACCTTCTCTCTTTAGATAGGAGTTAGGGGAGTAACTCTTGTACGATTGCCCACTCCCCCCTCACACACCACATGCACAAACACACACACACACCTTTAACTCCGTCTTTCGTCCTCCTCCCAAGAATACGGCCGATAAAGTATCGTAGAAAAGTAAAGCCGCCCGCCAGGTTTCCAAAGCGGTCTCGATATCGATGGATGATTATGCGGACCGGTCTATTTCTAGAAGCACCGACTCTCGGACGGGACATACTAATTATTTTTTACCGAACTCGTTACCACTCGCCTTTGGCAAGAGATCGGCGAGGACGAAGACGGATGGCAAGATAACGAAGAGAGAAACGAAGCTAAGATAGAAGGAGCGAGAAAGAGAGAGAGAAGAGAGAGAAAGAGAAACATTTGTCTCTCTGATACTCGCCGATCGGACTAACGCAATCTTGCGAAGAGGACGGATAAACTTAAGAAAGAGAGAGAGAGAAAGGAAAAGGGTGATCTAAGAGAAAGAGAAGAGGAGAGAAAATCTCTCGAGTATCGCAACCATGTTTCATCGTGAAAAAACAAGAGAGAAAGAGAGAGAGAGAGAGGAAGAAAAAGAGTGGGGGAAAAATGGAGAAAAAGTGGGACAAAAGTACGAAGCAAAGTGCAAACGAAGAGAAAGAGAGAGAGAGAGAGAGAAACAATTGACATTCTACGCGCACGTTCGATCGAGTCAAGGGACGAAGAAGAAGGGGTGGAAGTAGAATGGGGCGGGTAAGACCGTGGAACGAGGAGGGAGCGTTGGTGGGGGGGAGAGCGTGCAGAGAACACGGTGGCATGCACCTGTGCATTGCCTCCATATACGATACAAAGTTATGGCGTTTTTCTGAACAACTCGAGTTGCTCGAGTGGCGCGCGCGCGCACAAAACCGAGCGAGATCGTATCGTGACCGACGAAACCAATTCCATTTTTGGAAAGGGCAACCCGCGAACTACCGTCGTCCTTTCCGTCGCTTCTACTACGTTCCTCGATTTCAGTAGTGAAAAAAAAAAAAAGAAAAAAGAAGAAGGAAGGGAAAGGGAAAGGGAAAGGGAGTGAGGATTGAAGGGGCGAGTCCGGGAGTTTAACAATTAATTGTTCGCGAAAGAGACTCGACACACGCTCCTCCCAGAACACTCGATACGAGGAAGGGTGGGATTGGGGAGGAGGAGGAGGAGGAGGAGGAGGAGGAGGAGGAAATGTGCAAGTAGAAACGTAATAGGAATAAAAAGAAACGAGTAGGAGGAGGAGGAGGAGGATGGGATGATGAGTACATTTGATATTTATTAGACGTAGCCTAGCCTGTAACACTTGGCCACGCGCTCTCTTTCTTTACTTTTTCTCGTACGCCATTTTATCGCACTTTTTCCGTCCATGGTAAAAATCTATATCTCGGCGGAAGCAGCAAGCAAGCGCACGGTAAAGTACGCTTCGTCGGTCGTGTTGTTGTTCTCCGTGCGTACCTGACGTGTGCCTCTATCAAACTCGATGTAACTTTTCTCTCTTTCTTACTCTCTCTCTCTCTCTCTCTTTCTTTCTCTCTCTCTCTCTCTCTCTTTCTTTCTCTCTCTCTCTCTCTCTCTTTCTTTCTCATACTCTCTCTTTCTCTGTTGCTCGCGTGCGCGCCTGTTCGTGGGTGTAACCAGTTTCCGTGGGCTAAGCTGTCAAACCCACGTGGCCCGCCCACGCGGCCCAGATATATTACTGTGCCGTGAGAGAAAGAAAAGGTCGTTCGCGCGCGCACGCGACCAAGCGAGAAAGAGAAAGAAAAAGAAAAAAACAAAGAGAGAGAGAGAGAGAGAGAGAGGGAGATAGTTGGAGAGGTCGACGCAGGAAAGACCCTTCAGGAATGAGAGACGCGGCTTGCGACACAGGAAACGGTTTCACCTGGAGGGATACCCGAGGAGAGAACCGGAGGAGAGTAACGGAGGGATCTTACTGCGTTTCTCGCGCCCTTTCTATTCCCTTCGAGGAACCAAGATAGAGGACAGAGACTAAATAGCCGCGTGGGTGTGTATGATACATGGGACGGTCTTTTTATGAATTGAATTTTTTTCCACTTTCGATGGCGGCTCTTTAGAACATCTATAGGATGAGAAAGGTGTATACGAGAATCTTACGACGCGAGAAACCTTAGTCTCCAAAATACATTTATTAGAGTTATTTTCAATGTTATTCCTCTTACTACTCTCTTACTTCCGACTATTTCGAGATGAGATTAATTATTTATCAAAACGACTCGTTATAAAAAAACGATCGAAGTAAAAGTCCTATCTCTCTTTCTTTCTTTTTCTCTGTCTCTTTCTCTTTATCTCTTTTTCTTGCAAAAAGTAAAAGAGAATATGCGTTTTTAACAGACGAAGGGTGTGAGGGGAGGGAAGCTTTCGTTTATTTTCTCGCGTCATCCCATAACTAATTAATATGCCAAAAAGTCGTTGGACGGCCAACTTTCTCCGTGCGACATTCTTAAATGACGATGCGTCGTTACAAACCGGTGGCAGGTGTATTCCTTGTGTAAAATAAAATTATACAAAAAAGATAAAAGAGTAACAAAAACTGATTCGATCAAGTATACAGATCGGACTATATAGTCGAAA